GCAGGGATTGTGATTAGATATGTTGATCATTTTTGCAACTAAATGTTGGTTGAAATTCCATTGACATTTATCTCTGTATTACAAGTGATAGATTTATTACATCCCCTCAGTCCTCTAAGTGCAGCCCACCTGGGATAACTTTTCTGGGCTGCATTGAAAGTGATGGACAACTTCTCTAAGGGCTCATGCACATGGTTGCATTGGGGCATATTATATAAATGATGCCAGTATTTTGGCACCATAGAGCCACAAGTGTTGCACACAGCCACATGCACAAATAATTAACATGATATGGCTGCACAGAGGCATATGCAGTTCTGAGCGAGCTTTAAATCAAAATAATTTTCCTTATCTGTATATCACAGGTCATAGGGTTTCTTCAAAATTATGACTACATGGGTTTTACTGCCCCTTACAGGTGAATAGACACTGGTCAAAAAAGGGAAGACTTTCCCGCCCAGGCGAAATCCCTTCACTGCCTCAATTTTGGGCTGGTGTCCAGAAGTCTCTGAAGATTTCTTGCTTTGGGCATTTGCCTATGGGTTTACTGCCTGTTTCTGTACACTTCGTCTGGGGAAAAGGGAAAGGGCTGTATCTAAGTCGGTCATCTATGACTCTGGAGCTAAGAGGGGTGGTACTTGAACCCCACTGCAAAGAAAGATTGGGAATGGACCTTAATATTGTCGGTTGGCACTGGATCCTGAATGCAGCACTGACCAGAGTACTAGTATCCGGTAACGTCGCTGGCATTGTGTTCTACAGGTCCAGGGAGGTGGTCCATGGGGGAAGCCATGTCCCTGAAGGTCCCTTTGTGCCATGCCCAGCATGATGAGTCAGGGCTTAAATATTGTCCTGTGGCTTGGAATGGTGCCCTAATTTGTGGAATCCTCCATTGTGAAGCCTCCATTACTCCTTCCCTACTGCAGGGGCACTTGAGAGGTGTGCTGCTGGTGTAGGGGCGACTGTTTGGCCAGGCTGTGTGGAGAGTGTGCTGCTCTTTTGGATCCCCAATGCACTGATTGCACACAAGGAAACACCATACAAGTCCTCCGCTTGCAAGGACTCTCCTTTCACAAATTTACCAGCACTGGCAGTAGGTTCCCCTACCTAGGTGCATTTGTAAGTAATTAGGGCAGTCTATACTGTGGGTATGCTAATCCACTAGGTGTCTTGCTGCAAGCAGACACTCCTCTATGCCTGGGTTGCCATTCCTGTTCAGAAGTAAGGCCTGGTAATCCTCAACAAACCATGGCAGTACACAGGTTTGAGGGAAGGATGAAGGGGTGAGCTCCCAAATACCTTTCACTGGTGGGGAGAGCTTCCTGCATAGTTTGCCCTGTATTTGTTCCCCTTAGTGTCAGATGAGTCCCAAATCCCTGCCTTTATCTGGTCTTTCCATCATTCTGGGTCTTATTTTTCCAGTTCATTTGTATCCAGGGAGGAAATTGAAGCAGCCATTTCTGACCTACATGACTAGCTCTCAGGAGTTCACTAGGAATGCCTGGTTTACGAACATGGGTGCTCTCTCTTCCTTTCTCCCCTGCTGTGGGGGTGAAGTATTAGAGGATCATCCTTTAACCATTTCAATACCGTGCAATTTTACACCTTCCTGCCAGGCCATTTTTCACGTTTCAGCGCTCTCACACTTTGAATGACAATTGCGCGGTCATACAACATTGTACCCAAACTAAAATTTTATCATTTTCTTCACACAACTAGAGCTTTCTTTTGGTGGTATTTAATCACCGCTGGGGTTTTTATTTTTTGCTAAATTAACAAAAATTTTTTTGTTAATTTAGCAAAAAAAAAAATAAATAATTTAATATTTTTTTTAAGATTTTTTTTTTTTATATTTTACTATGACCAAAGTAGTACAGTGTTACCATAGTAACATTGTACTACTTTGGGGAAGTGATCAGTATTTTTTTTTTTTTACACAATTTGCTTATAGCAAAGAATTACTTTGCTATAAGCAAGCATTTACCTGAATGAAATCGATTCATTCAGCTTTTTTTTTTTTTTTTTTTGTGCTTAGCTGTGATTTGGTCACAGCTAATCACATGACATGTGCATGTGATTAGCTGTGACCATTCACAGCTAGGCACTAGTATACAATGGATGGCATGAATGAAGCCATCCATTGTATACAACTGTCATGTGACCTGCTGTGATTGGTCACAGCAGGTCACATGGTACCTGCAACGGGGGCCGGTACTCAGATCTGTCATCGGCCGTGTCCGAGGTACGCGGCCAGTGACAGATCACGCTGCTGCGCCGCTCTGCATTAGCGCAAGCTGCGCATGTGCGCGGGAGCACGCCAAATGGTGTGCACCCGAAATACAGCAGCACATTTGAAGCCGCCAAACGGCCATTGGCCGGGCGGCTAATGGTTAAACAAGGATGTGAAAGAGATGGAAATTGGAGAGGATTGGGGCTCTTCTCAGGAAGAAGGCTTATTTTGCCTGATATGAGGCTTGAAAGGTTTACCTCGACATTAGGTCTTGGGGCACATTTTGGCTTTTCTCCAACCTGGTCTGGAGGTTTCTTTAGCCTTGAGTACTATCAAAGTTCAGATTGAGCCTCAGCCATCCTCCTCCAGAGACCCGTTATGTCTCTCTCATTGGTAAAGGCTTTTGTGCATGGGATCATGAGAATTGTTCCACTTGTCTGGTCTCAATTGCTGTTGTGGGATCTTAATCTGGTATGGTCTGTTTTACAACATGCTCTATTTATAGCTCTTTGCCATTTCTTTTGTGCATGATGACCTCTTTGTTGGCCATTACTTAAGCTTTAAGGGTCTCCGTGCTGGATGCACTCTCCTGTAAGGAACTGTTTCTGGTCTTTTACCAAGATAAGGTAATCTCATCTTTCCACTTGAACCAGGACATTGGGCTAGATTTACTAAAACTGGAGCAGCAGAATCTGGTGCAATTGTGCATGGTAGTCAATCAGCTGCTAATTTCAGCTTGTTCAATTGTGCTTTGACAATAAAACCTGGAAGCTGGTTGGTGTCTGCGCACATAGGGTACCAGATTTTGCACCCTCCAGTTTTAGTAATTCTTCCTCATTATCTTACTCTTTTTGCCTTAATTACAAACACCATAAGGAGAAGGTTATGAGCTGAGGGCAGATGGATTCCAGGAAGTAAATACTACATGAATCCTCTGCCCTTACTTAAGATGACCACAGCTATAATTGATAGAGCGGTGTATTTCAAAGCGATTTCTAAGTTAAAGCACTGAGATATGGATGGATGAGTTTGCTTTACTGTAAAGATTAAAATGAATTGACATTTTCAGTTTGTGATCTTCAGATACAGTTTTATTTTCCACTTTAAGGTCTTACTTGGTTTACAGTTAAGGTCCTTTTTACCAGTGTTGTGTACCTTCTGGGTGATTCAGCATGAAACTTCAAAATTGTAAGGCTGATACCTTGTACTTTGTTCACACATCAACAAAGTTTTACCAAGAAGATGATCTTGTAATTGAACACAAGTTTTGGACAGAAGGTGGTTCTGGGGGTGGTTTGGGCTTGTTGCTGTTTTGCCCATACCTACTGTTCAATAATTTAGAAGGTCTCAAATAGTCAGGAATTTAAAGAAATTCTGTATGCTGTAAGGTACGATTATAAGTTTAGGCTTTTTTGGTTTGCCTGTAAAATTTGTTTCTTGAAGTACATCACAGGACACAGTGACTTCCCCTGTTGGTATGGTTCCTCATTGCCTGGGTGGAGAAGCCTCTTTTTTTGGCCAATGTGAATTCACATGTAGGTGGCAGCATAACCCAAGTAGTTAAAAATATAAAGAGACCTTGTGTCCTGTGATGTACTGCAACAAAAGGATTTTACAGGTAAACCACAAATCCTAATTTTAAAAACCTGTTCATACAGTGGGGCAAAAAAGTATTTAGTCAGCCACCAATTGTGCAAGTTCTCCCACTTAAAAAGATAAGAAAGGCCTGTAATTGGCATCATAGGTATATTGTATATTGATGAATTAGCGGCATTAAATTGCTAAGATGAGCCACATTAAGGCAGTTATTTTCTCATATATGTAAATGAGAAATGCTTACAGATGAATTTTAGGCATGGCAGTTTTTATGTACATTACATTGGTCCAAGCTGTGTCATACATATAGGATCCCTGCCCAAGCTAGATATCACTGTAGTGGGCACCCTTACTACAGTGATCTCCAGTAGCTCTGAGGTTCCATGCCAGGAGCTGCCTTGCTGCATTGTGAATAAAGAAGGCCCTTTGCTTGGCACAGCTGCCATTCAAGAAACACTTTGCATGTTCTCAATTATTTCAAAGCATTCTATGATTGGATGAGGTTCACCTCATTCAATTAAAGAACACTTTGCAATCATTGAGAAAAAGGAAAGTGTCCTGAATGTCTCCCATGCTGTGCGAGCAACCTCCTGTGTTTAGTAAGCAGCAGTGCAGCTGCTCAGCACAGGAACCAGAAGCTAGTGGCAATTACTGTAGTAGAAGTGCCTACTACAGTGATCTCAGCTTCCCTGGGTATCCCAGAGATCTGGCATTTGCATACTTACATTGGCCAAAGGTAGGAACTGGTATACCTGGAATTCGGTTTTAAAGCCTGTAGGTTCACTTTAATATTATGGGAAATGCACCCACCACTGGAAATGGGTGAAAGGTGTCAGAATCGGATGGCTATATTTTATTACTGCAGCTTTATTGACAGTATGCATTGTCCGGTACATACCCTGTATGTACTGAGTCCTGAGAGCTGCACAAGCTAGATTACTCGTACACAACTTACAGTAAATGTAACTGAGTCCAAATTGAATGTTCACTGGAACACACCTGTATACAGCTCAGTCTGTTCTACTAATACTTAAGAGAGGCTTTTTGTGTTTTAGTATTTGATATTCTCTTTTCTTTCAGACTGCGAATTCAGCCTTCAAGCCCTCCTCCAAATCCAGCCAGCAACCACCTCTACAGACAGCCAGACAACAGTCCTCCGCCATCCTCCAGTGCCATGCTCCAGACACATGGTATCTTTTCTTATGTGATTAGCATGAAATGATATATTCAGTGGTTGGTTCTAAGTCATTAATGGTTTGTTTCTTTCCCCCCCTCCAGGAGCCCAACCTTCCACTCAGTATCAGGGGATGCCTTCTCATAGTGGTCTTTACCAGCCCTCTAGCAGTGGCTCCCCTCCACCTAGCATTACACTGCCTCGCATGGGCATTCAGCAGCAGCAGAACCAGCAGCAATCTGCACAACAAGTCACCATCCAGGTGCAAGAGCCATCAGACATGACTGGAGCTTCGCGGGCTATGCCAGTGAATCCTTGTGCCAACCACATGCAGATGCAGCGAGCCTCGATTATGGCTTCTTTGAGCAGCTACACCCACAGACCATTATCTAAGCAGCTGAGTGCTGACAGTGCTGAGGTGCACAGGTAACCGTGGACAGAGGAGGGTGGATTTATGGCAGAAGAAAAAACTGCTGCCTGTAGTATTTGAATTATATTTTCTTGGTTCTCTGGCTGATTAAATCAGAACTCAGATGTTTGCAAAAAGAGAAAACATGGCTTTGTTTTCTATCTTTTAGGTTTGCTTGAAAATCGTTACCTGATACTTATTTAATTTATTGACTGTATAGTGTAGTTTAGTGTATTTTAATGGTGTGGTTTTTACATATTTGTGTGTATGTATAAGACTCAAAAAGGATCGCCCAAGTAGTGTAAAGTTCCATAAAAGAAGTTGAAACATGGGAGACAGTCACATGAAGTAATAAAATCCAGCATGGTCTGATATACAGTACTTTCAGAAGTACCCAGATGGAGTTTCACTGTAAGGGAATCAGACTAAAGGTCCCCAGTGACTGACCACACTGTAACAGAAATGGTTTTGGGAGTGGGCCCTTCTCTTGGTGGTGTTTGAAGATATGTTTTCGGTGGGGGCACCAAATGAAGATCCCAGCTTTCCGATTCAACAAATGGACAAGTTTGTGTCCTGCACCAGAGATATTTTGGCTATTGCAGTGGGTGCACTGGTGACTCTTTTGGATCAGTTTTCTCTGATTTATGCCTTTCTTCCACTTCATCTTCTTCCTCACCTGTTACCCAGGATAAAGCTGGAGGATGTTTTGGTGATGCTGATCATCCTGGCCTAGCCAAGAAAAACATAGTATGCAATCATTGTAGACCACTTAGCAACCGAGCTGTGGACTCTTCCAGAATGGCTGGACTGCTTCCACATTTTCGATCCTGCTTTGCAGTCTCTGGCTTTGACAGCGTGGCCATTGAAGCCCAGGTCCTGTTCTCCCTGAAGGACCTCATAAGGGTCAGATTGATTCTAAATCTGCTATTTCCAGGTTGATTCATCAGTTTATTTCTTAGGCCTATGAGATCAAGTGCAAGGTACCTGCTTTCCTGGCGAAGAAACTAAGATTTTTGGTTTACCTGTAAAATCTTTTTTTAGAGTACATCACAGGACACAGAGATCCCTGCCTTCTGGCTTGTGTCCCTCGTTGTTTGCTTAAAAAAAAATCAACACTTAAGCCAGCCAAATACGGTTGAAATCATGTATTGGCAGGCTGAATGAATTCAAGTTGATCGATCCATCAACCTGGGTACAACCAGCCGGCTGGATTTTACATGCGATTATAACAGCCGCTAGCAATAATCACTGTGCTCTCCCAGCAAGGGATGGCTTTCCCCGCCAGGAGAACAGATTGGATTCCCCCATCCACACTGACTGCAACCAATGTTTGCAGGAAAGAAATTCGCTCCGTCTATGGCCTGCTTTAGCTAAGCTGGGAGGGGTTATGCCTGGGTGGGATTCCTGCCTTGTTTATTTCTGTAGTTCATGCAGTAATGACTATTAACTCCTCTGTGTCCTGTGATGTACTCCAAGAAAACTGTTTTAAAGGTAAGCCAAAAATCCTAAATTTTATTTGTATACATTTTAAATACATGTAAAGCCACACTACTGCATCTATGCCAAATTCTGTCTCTAAACTATCTGAGCTTCCAGCTTGGGAGAATAATTGGGGCGGGGGGATAAATATATATATATTTTTTTTTATTTGGAAAGAGCAGGTATGCCTTGGTGCAAATCTATTGTCCCTAACGGCCCAGCAACATGCCAGAAGCCCAAACTCACTGAAGGCAGCCCCAGTGTGTGTCTGTTCGAATTCAGCAAAGCAAAAATGGCAGTTGCTCAGATCCCTTTTAAAACTAGTAAAAAGAACAGTGTCTGAAGTGTTCTTTTTTTTTAAATTTTTTTTATGGTCAACATGAAAAAACATTTAGCATATATTACGCAATATGTTATGTTGAGGCAAATGTTGTTAAAATGTGTATTCTTTGGGGTTATAGTAAAATAATTCTTCAGCTTTGCATGCATTAACATCTGTTAAGAGCAACAAGCACATCAAAGGAAGTAGAGCAAAAATAGTTAATATAATTAATGATATTATGCAGAACTGGTATAGCCATAATTATTTGTTCTTCTTTTTTAGTCTGAATGTGGGTCGTTACTCTCCTTCAACAAATTATGACCAGACTCACCTGCACCCTCATGTGTTTTCTGATCAGCAACGGGGCTCCCCCCACAAGCTACACTACACAAGGAAGCGGGGGGTACACCCCATCTGGTAGCACTGGTTATCATCAGGCCTTGAAAGTTCCTCAACTAGAACAGTACCCTTCATTCCCACAAACCCCCCAACAGAACTACACTGCATCTGCTCTGCAGCAGGCCTTGCTCTCACCCACACCTAGCACGTATACAAGGCACCACCAGCAACTTCCGCACATGCTTCAGGGTCTGTTGTCCCCACGGCACTCTCTGACTGGCCATGCAGATGCACGCCTGCCTCCTGCTGATTTTATGCAGCTTATTAAACAACACCAGCAACAACAACAGGAGTTGAATGAACTGTTCAACCAGCACCTGAGTCAAGGAGACACAGGCAACCTTTCCTTCCAGAGTCCCCCTGAAACTTATCACAATCTTCTTCAGATCCGAGCACAAGAATGTATGCATCAAGCAACGCCTACTCCTCCACCGCCCCGATTCCACCCATCTATACTACATTCAGAGAGCATGGAGGAGGACTGTACTGGAGAAGGACATAGGATGGGTGAAGGGGAGACTGTCAGAGGATTAAGCAAACCCCATCAAGAGACTGGGCATGGGGATTCAGAAACTCTTCTAGGGACACTGGCGCTTAGAGAGCATGAATTGGGGACGCAACAGTATCAGCCACAGAATTCGTACAGTGGGACCAAGATGACCAGCAGAGGTAATTGGAAAGGGATAAATAGCACCAACTGCCTGCTAACTGGTTATTTTATAGTAGATGTAAATCCTGATTGGATGATGTTTAATTCACTACAGTTATTAGGTGTCATACATACGGGACGTACTATAGTGTCCGCCTGTGCGAAGGCTGTGTTTACATGCGTGGGAATGCGCAGGTGTTCTGTGCATCCCTGTTCAGGCAGTCTCAATTGGGTCAGAGCAGCTTCACGGACACGGCCACTACTTGCAATTTAACATTGTGCGATTGTCCCCGAACTCACACTGTCTGCATTTGGGCCCATGCACCCTCACAGATATCAGGCGCTGTGTCCCAATTGACATTGATGGGCCTGCCTGTACGGGGATGCATTGAACACCTGTGCAGGTAAATACAGTCTTTGCACAGGTGTACATTATAGTACTCCCCATGTGAACAAGACCTAAAAAGTAAACCATTACCATTTTTAAAAATAAAATACTTTTCAGTAGGCATGCACCGATACCATTTTTTAATTTTTTTTTTTAAGCACCATGTATGAGTACCAATACTTTTTTTTATGGTACTCGCCAATGCCAGTTACCGATACCTATTGCCTTGGAAAGGTAAGTGGAAAAGAAGCTGTGGGTAAGGGGTGGGTAAATCTGGCTATGGTTGGGAAAAGGTGGGGGGGGATTGGGGTATGGTAGTTGGAATGAGTGTTTGAGGGATGGGATGGGTGGACAAGGCTGGAATCCTAATGCCATATGGAAAAAACCAAGGGAAAGACCTCAAAGAAAGTAGTGATCACAAATGGTAACATATTAAAATTAGTGACCGGGCATTCACCAGCTGACAGTGAGTCTGCATCCCTTAAGAGCGCTGCATAGCTCAGGTTTTTCTTTCCCTTTGACAGTTTTATTAGCCAACTTGTCACACACATGGGAAATATGTTTGTATAGAGCCAAAGGAACTTATGGTGTCCTGATATATTACCGGGAAAGATCCTTGACGAAAGGAATGCACAGCTCATACATAATTACCCCCACTGCGGTTACAGTGACTTGATGGGCTGTCAGGACTGGAGAGCTGAAGAAACATAAGGGGTTGGGTGGAGTATGTGGGAGACAGCGGGCAGCTGTGACAGATGGAGAAGGGAATGACAAGCCTGCCAGATTTAGTTAGCAGTGGTGGATGACCGAGCTGGAGAAGGTAGCTTTTGTGGGAGGGATTCTGAGTGGGTGAGTGACAGTGTTTGACAGTTGTGATAGGGCTTGTTGTTTGCAGGATGAGGGAGAGGGATGAGTCAGCGGTTGTTAAGGACACGGCAGCCTCGCTCCCTTACAACAGATAATTGACAGCATTCTTTTGTTTACATTTCAGCTGTCAGCGGTTAAATCCTGTTGACGGCTGAAAGAACCAGACTTTGGAGGTATCTGTATTTAGTATCAGTGCCTTTGTACAAGTACCGATACTCGTGCAAATGCTTCGTGTCGGCACTGATAATGGTATTGGTCCAACCCTACTTTTCACACTTCTTTCATCTTTTGTTTTAGTGCTGTAGGATTCCTGCAGCTTCATCAGCCCTGAACATCACTGATAACTGTACAGCATTTTCAGGGTGGGATTCCTGATGGGAATAAGAGGACCATGTCTGTGCTAGAATAAGAGGACCATTGTTGTGCTAGAAAGTCCAAGAGCATCCCATGTGCAGCTTTTGTGCAGAATAATGCAAGTTGTCTGCAAGTATTTTTTTGGTAACATGCTGCATTCATCTTGCCATCAATTTTCACAAGATTCCCCTTGCCTTTAGAGCTCTCACACCCCCAAAACATCAGTGAGCCACCACAATGCTTCACAGTGGGGATGGTATTCTTCTTGCTATAGGCCTTGGTGACCCCTCTCCAAACACAGTGCTTATGTTTGTGACCATATAGCTCTATTTTGGTCTCTTCACTCCAGATTGCAGTGTACCAGAAGCTGTGAGGCATGTGAAGGTGTTGTCAGGGATATTATAACTGGGCTTTTGTGTGGCATTTGGAGCAGTAAAGGCTTATTTCTGGCAACTTGACCATGCAGCACGTTTTTTTTTTTCATTTTGTTCAAGTGTTGTCACATTGTGCTCCTTGAAACAACCACACAGTTGTTTTCGAGAGCTGCCTGTATTTCTCCTGGGGTTACCTGTGGGTTTTTCTTTGTATCCCAAACAGTTACTCTGGCAGTTGTGGCTGCAATCTTTCTTGACCTACCGTACCTTGGCTTAGTATCAAGAGATACCTGAATTTTCCACTTCTTAATAAGTGATTGAACAATACTGACTGTCACATTCAAGGCTTTAGGATATCTTTTTTTTATATCCTTTTCTATCTTTCTAAAGTTCCCTTACCTTGTTACGCAGGTCTTATGACAGTTTTTTTTCTGCTCCCCATGGCTCAGTATCTAGTCTGCTCAGTGCATCCACATGAGAGCTAACAAACTCATTGACTGTTTATACACAGACACTAACTGCAATTTAAAAAGCCACAGATGGGGAAATTAACCTTTAATTGCCATTTTAACCCATGTGTGTCACCTTGTGTGTCTGAACCAAGGCCAAACATTCCAGGGTATGTAAACTTTTTTGATCAGGCCCAGCTAAATGCATACTTTACTCATCCTATAATACATAAAATACTTGCAAGTTAAAGCAGACTTGTCTTTCTAGGGTTAGACAGATTAAAGAAGAAGTAAAGCCAAACCTTTTTTGGCTGTACTTCTATGGATTACAGGAGTGCAATTCTTTCTGCACTCCCGTGATCTGTTTTCAACCAACAGCAGGCTGAAACCCACTGTTGGCTGACGTCACAGAGCCAGTCCAGGCTCTGAAAAGATCCCAACCATATGGTGGGGATCCACCCAGAACCCTGGACCGTCACCTGGCTCAACCTCTCAGCAATCCGCCGAGAGCCTGAACCAGCCCCTCCTGCCCCCTCCACTGCCCAGCAGAGAGCTAGAGGCGGACAGTCCTGGCTTTCTGCTCAGAGCAGAGGGGGAGATCTGAGCAAGCAGCAGTGCCTAATCACTCAGTTCTCACTACAGAGCTGACGGGGGACAGATGCAACATCCACCTAGGTTAGTGTATTTTTTTTTTTTTAAAGCCATACTTCTCTTTTAATGTTCCATCACTGTTATTACCAGAACTGAGCAAGCAACGATCTCTAATCGCTCAGTTCTCACTACAGAGCTGATGGGGAACAGATGCAACATTGGATCAAAGCTGCATCCATCTAGGTTATTATATTGTTTGTTTTTTTAAAAGCCATAATTCTCTTTTAATGTTCCATCACTGTCATTACCATTTTCTCCGTCACTTCTTCAGATCTGTGTCTTCTTAATTTGGTAATTAGGAGGCCACTGATGATGATGCAACTCCTATGTGAACATGCTGGAATTGTATTATCCTGGCACTCTTACAGATGCCAGGAATGGGTTGAGTATGTACTTTGCAATGGGCATGTACCTACCTGTTGTTTATTTATTTTTTAGTAAAGATTACCTACATGGAATATTAACTATTTCTGCAGCCAGTGACCTCACTGGGCACATGCTCACTGCGCTCTGAAGGGATGGCGTACTGAGAGAGCCATCCTTTCAAAACATTGTTCCGCAAATGTCTCTCGAACGCATGGGAGTGTTGTCATCGCTGCTCGACCATTTAAATGGCCAGAGCCTGTGAAGTTGGAAGCCCTATCAACGGTGACGGCGTGTCACTGGAAGGATTGACTTGCAGGGAACCGGATTTGGTTTTTCCCCAGATTTTTCAACCACTTTAAGACTCCGTTACATTTTATATTAGAATCCTGAAATACAGGGTAGAGAAGGATTTGTACTACAGGCAGGAGATTCCTCTAAGTAGTTCAAAATACTGAGTCTTTACTTAAGAGCTTCATTATACTTGTAATGTAATATACAGGTTGCATCATCATTCTTCAGGCCAAAGAAATAGGTCTCCTTTTTATTGTTTGGCTGCTTGCAGTTTCATGGTTATTTCTCAAAGGCTGTAAAATAAAATGTCTACTGACCACTATATTGTGCTAAAGTGTCATATTTCCCAATGTGAAATGTAATAATGCAGTTATAATGTAATGCAGTTTTACATGCTACTTGTTTTCTTATCCTTTAACCCTTTGCCGACACCTTCCAGCAGCCCTTTACTATTATTAATGTTGGGAGGTGGAATTCCTAATCCTATTACCATTGTGATTGGCTGTCAACCTGATCACATGATCAGGAGCCATCCTACCAGCTCGTGATTATAAGCGGTGACTGGGAGCTGTCAGTGACAGCTAGTCAGTGTAGCGTGAGTGCTCTCCGCACACAACAGCACAGCCCCATGAACTCGTGTGGCAGCCAGGCATTAAGGCACTGTTCACACCTTCACATTTCAACACGTGTGTCATAAAGCAAAAAAACAGATGTCATAGGAAGCAATGTCATTCAATGAGGCAACGCAGAACTATGCTGTGCAGTTTGAAAAATGAGGTGTGTCTGTTTTTCCTTTGCATTTTCATGGAAAATGCATGCAAATGTGCTACAACAGACCTTAAAAATGAATTACAGAAAAAAGACAAATGAGGACATAGTGGATATAAAAAGTCTACACACCCCTGTTAAAATGTCAGGCTTCTGTGATGTAAAAAAATGAGACAAAGATAAATAATTTCAGAACTTTTTCCACCTTTAATGTGACCTATAAACTGTACAACTGAGTTGAACAACAAACTGAAATCTTTTAGGTGGAGGGAAGTAAAAATAAACTAAAAAAATAATATGGTTGCATAAGTGTGCACACCCTTAAGCTAATACTTTGTTGAAGCAGCTTCTGATTTTATGCCAACATTCAGTCTTTTTGGGTATGAGTATCAGCATGGAACATCTTGACTTGGCGATATTTGCCCACTCTTCCTTGCAAAAACATTACAAATCTGTCAGATTGTGAGGGCATCTCCTGTGCACAGCCCTCTTCAGATCAACCCACAGATTTTTGATCGGATTCAGGTCTGGGCTCTGGCTGGGCCATTCCAAAACTTTAATCTTCTTCTGGTGAAGCCATTCCTTTGTTGATTTGGATGTATGCTTTGGGTCGTTGTCATGCTGAAAGATGAAGTTCCTCTTCATGTTCAGCTTTCTAGCAGAAGCTTGAAAGTTTTGTGCCAATTTTGACTGGCATTTGGAACTGTTCATAATTCCCTCTACCTTGACTAAGGCTCCAGTTCCAGCTGAAGAAAAACAGTCCCAAAGCATGATGCTACCACCACCATGCTTCACTGTGGGTATGGTGTTCTTTTGGTGATGTGCAGTGTTGTTGTTGTGCCAAACATATCTTTTGGAATTATGGCCTAAAAGTTCAACCTTGGTTTCATCAGACCAGAACACATTTTCCCACATGCTTTTGGGAGACTTCAGATGTGTTTTTGCAAAATTTAGCCGGGCTTGGATGTTTTTCTTTGTAAGAAAAGGCTTCCGTCTTGCCACTCTACCCCATAACCCAGACACAGGAAGAATACGGGAGATTGTTGTCATATGTACCACACAGCCGGTACTTGTCAGATATTCCTGCAGCTCCTTTAATGTTGCTGCAGGCCTCTTGGCAGCCTCCCAGACCAGTTTTCTTCTCGTCTTTATATCTATTTGGAGGGACGTCCAGTTCTTGGTAATGTCACTGTTGCACCATATTTTCTCCACTTGATGATAACTGTCTTCACTGTGTTCCATGGTATATCTAATTCCTTGGAAATTCTTTTGTACCGTTCTCCTGACTGATACTTTTTAACAATAAGATCCCTCTGATGCTTTGGAAGCTCTCTGCGGGCCATTGCTTTTGCTGTAGGATGCGACTAAGAAAATGTCAGGAAAGAACTACTAGAACAGCTAAACTTTTTATTTGGGGTTAATCAGAGGCACTTTAAATAAAGGCAGGTGTGTACTGAGTCCTGCTTAATACGATTTTGAATGTGATTGCTTAATTCTGAACACAGCTACATCCCCAGTTATAAGAGGGTGTGCACACTTATGCAACCACGTTATTTTAGTTTTTTATGTTTACTCCCCCCCCCCCAAAATATTTCAGTTTGTCTTTCAATTGAGTTGTACTGTTTATAGGTCACATTAAAGGTAGAAAAAGTTCTGAAATGATTTATCTTTGTCTAATTTTTTTTTACATCACAGAAACCTGACATTTTAACAGGGGTGTGTAGACTTTTTATATCCACTGTAGATGGACCCACTTTTGCTGCTGCATATATGCGTTTTTCTGGAAGGAATAGATTAAAGTAGTAGTGGTTAACAAACTTAAAGGCGGTGTTAAAGTGCAGTCCATAACATCGCCAAGAGGCCACACACAATCAATGAATGTAATGCTTCAGAAAACTATCCGATATATTGCAGACATGTAATGTGAGATATTTAGACTATGGGCATGCTACAAGAGATGGTCAGAGACTGTGAGCATATGCGGTATGGACAGGCTTTATTGGTGTGACCAAAGTTAAAACTGAACATAACAATAATTGCCCTTGTTGAAGGGGACCTCAAGAAGTATATCAGAGAGAGAATACTTTGTATTTATCTGAATTATATATACAGCTGTACTTCGGTTTATGAATTTAATGCGTTCTCCGGGACGTTTCGTATTGCGAAAAATTCGTAAACCAATAGGAATGCATTGAAAACCAATTAATCCGTTCTGGAGGTCAGAAAGAAATTAAAAAAAAAAATCACTGTCACTATAGGTCAGTGCCGGTTTTTAAATGTAATTACCAGTTTTTATTTTCTTCACTATAGCTCAGAGAATCAGCTGTCACTTTCCCCCCAGCTAAAAGAAAGAAAGTTTCCTTTTAATTTATGTCCACAAGTTAAAAGAAACCATGTTTCCTTTTAGTTTGTTTCCCAAGATAAACAAAGTTTCCTTTAGCTCCAGGGAAAGTGACGGCTAATTCTGTGAGCTATAGTGAAGAAAAAAAAGCCGTCAATTGCATTTAAAAATTGGCACCGACATACGCTTCGTATTGCGAAAAAAAATCCGTAAACCGAGGCATTATTTTCAATGGATTTTCATTTGTAAACCGAGGTACATTCGTAAACCAAGGCGTTCATAAACCGAGCTACACCTGTACTGTGTTTTTTGTCTTTCTAAAAATGCTGCACATAAAGGAAAAAGGACGCACCAGAAATCCAGTGAGCTCTGAACTGCCTGTAGTAAGCTGACAGCGCTGCCTCTGCTTAAGTGTTTACCAAGCAGTGTCATCAGCCCGTTCTGATTTCTCCTTCCATTAAATACAGAACACATCCACCTCTTCTAGGGTAGGTGTTCTGTTGTCAGGGGAAAACTTAGGAGACCTCTGTCATCATACCCAAATGCCAGATGGCCAAAGCTCCAGCACTTTCTGGTAGTGTTGAAGCTTACCTGCTCAGTTTTCAAATATCAGTGTTTTTGGTGCAAATTTAAGTGTTGGTAGTCCTCTTCACAAACTGATGGAAAATCTACTTACCTCCACACGTATGTTGGTTACAGTGGTTTGAGCCTTTTGACTGTAAGAAACCTCAGTTTGTGCTACAATTCCTGCTCGCCACACTCCACTGGTGTCCTACTTTTAGGATATAAAAGGTAAAGCCTTATGGGGAATGTGTCACCTCTGCAATCACCTTGGCCAAACAATGTGTATGTTTAGGGCTTCATGACTACAATCCAGCAACTACATGTACTAATCAGTTTCTTTTTTTTTCTATTTAAGAACCAGGTGCTACGGTGAACTGCATGGACAAAGTTTCTCCTCCTCATGCCATGGACGTTCCAGACCATAATGGTGTCCCTTACTCTCCCAGGTCGTCAGTTAGTGAGCATGCTCGTTCCAGGATGTTGCAACGGCACCACACCATCCAAACTAGTGATGATGCCTATGTATGTATTTCATGATTATAATGTGAGGGGCTGTATACAGATATTTTCCTGAAGGAGCAGTTTATAAACGAAGGGATTTTGTGTAATGTGGAGCAATTTGTAAATATTAACTTTTTTGTATCATTATTCTCAAGAGAGGTTTTTTTTTTTTTTTTTTTTTTTTTTTTTTTTAAATTTAAATTATACTTACCTAGGTGGAGGCAGCATTGGTCCCCCGCTGGTTCTAAGGGTGAGAACTGAGCGATCAGACACTGCTGATCGCTCAGTTCTCTCCCTCCACACTAAGTAGAGGGCCAGGTCTCTGGGTCTGCCAGTCTCTGTCTCTCTTCTCCCCCCCTTCCTTTCCCCAGCACTTACTGGAGCACTGGGCTGCGAAGGGTTCTTTCCCCAGCCTGGACTGGCTAAGTGACATCAGCCAACAGCAGACTTCAGCCCACTCTCAGCTGAAAGCAGGTCACAGGAGTGCAGAATGAACTGCACTCCTGTGATCCACAGGAGAAGTACAGCCAAATGAGCTCTGGCCGTACTTCTCATTTCATGGTCTTCTTGCTCTTATGCAGGGTGTTTGGGTTTCTTACATTGGAAGTACAGGGGTTAGACAAAAAAAACAAAAAACGGAAAAACACTACATAATTTGCAGGTGTGAAAGTGACAAAATGTTTGCATTGAAGGTGGAAGTGATGTAACATTCTTTGGCTTCTGCTGTGTGACGAGACACCTTGTTAACAGGTGGGAAGCCTCATTTCGTCATTCACTGCCTGCGCTGCTAGTGATACAAAGTCATGTCAGAGCTTACTGAGCTTCAGAGAGGGCACATTGTTGGTGCCGCTTAGTTGGTGCCTCTGTGACTGAAGTTGCTGATTTATTTGCCATGTTGTGAGGTACAGTACCAAAGGTTATGACGGCATATGCTTATCAGACGACGTTTTCCTGGAAACTGTATAAGTGCGGTCGACATGGTCAACTGACCGAAAGCAACAAAAGGACATTGCTCAGGACTGTGACTCGGAATAGGAAAATTGCTGCAAAAGTGACTGCAGAACTCAATCTCAGTCCCAAGAAAACTGAGTTTGAGCTCTGCACGGTTTCCCGGAAACTGTGTATGCCGTCATAACCTTTGATCCTGTACCTCCCGACACGGCAAATAAATTGCCAACTTCAGTCACAGAGGCACCAGCTAAGTGGCACCAACAATTGGTTCTGTTTTGTAGCTCAGTAAGCTGACATGACTCCATATTGCTAGCAGGTCACGCAGTGAATGACGAAGGTGAGGCTTCCCAGCTGTTAGCTAGGTGTCTCATCACACAGCAGAAGCAAAAGAATGTTGCATCACTTCCACTTTCAATGAGAAACATGTCACACCTGCAAATCATGCAGTGTTTACTTTTTTGCCTAACCCCTGTATACTCTAATGGTGACCACACATGCATCAAAACGTGGTCATTCATCATCACACATTCAGTTGATCCTTCATTGCAACTAAATTCATCAAATCTAATAAAATGTGCAAGCTAATGACCCTCTATTTGATTGTTTTAGTGGACTCTTGAACGACTTTGATTTTGCTAAGTCGATTGACATTTATTCTACAGATTAAAGGATCGCTTGTAATCATTTAGACTTATGATTGATAATCGACATATATGCTCAGTGGTTTCAGTTGATTGCAAAGTGTATATTTTATCATTCATTTCATTTATCAGTAATTTTAGCTGGTGATAAATCACTTGTTTACAAATTGCTTGCCCCAGTAGACCTGTGGTTAAGGAATGGCTTGTCTGTTGTGGAGCCATCTTTGTTTAGATACAGTGTGGCTTTACTTACTGCTCCATCTGTTCTTCCAGGTGCAGCTGGACAATTTGACTGGCATGAGTTTAATGGCGGGTAAGGCTCTAAGCTCTGCACGCATGGCAGATGCAGTTTTGAGTCATTCTTCACTTATGGGAAGTCAACAGCTCCAGGATGGCGAGGAGAGTGAAGGTGCGTAGACAAAAGCTGCCTCTTGCCTATTTGATTTTTATTGTTTTAGTTCTGCAATCCCTCTTTCCCAGCTTGCTCCGCTGTATGTGTTGCTTCTTCCAATAATTGAATGGTTATGTTGTATTACGTCATTCTTTTTGAATTTATTGCTGATTCATCAGTTGTGTTAAGTTGTTGCCACCTGTGTAATATGTATGTGTGGCATGTGGGGGGTTAATAGCCCACCCTTTTTCTGCCTTACATATGCATCACTGAGCGGCCTATGATATAAAGACAGCTCTTGGTCCCCGTTAAATATCAGTAGCTAGCGGGACTGGATCCCAAACATGTAACTGCTTATATAGTTTGGTTGAAAAAAGTCCATCCAGTTCAACCCACACAAGAGAAAAAAAAACACACAGACAAAGAGAAACCTCCATATACAGAATTTAATACTCACGGTTGATCCAGAGGAAGGCAAAAGACCCCAATAAAACATGATTCAGTTTGCTCCAATGGGAAAAAAGAATTCCTTCCTGATCCCCTGAGAGGCAATCAGATATTCCCTGGATCAACTTTACCTATAAATGTTAGTATCCATTCTGTGCATTTAGGAAAGAATCCAGGACTTTTTTAAAACAATTTACTGAGCTGGCCAAAAGGAGGGTAAGACAGGAAGGCGCTTCTAAGTGCAGTATATCCAAATTCACTTTAATGACAACGGTTAGTAACACTTACAAGGTGGCAGTAAAAACAGGCTCTGTATGATCTGTCATGATGAGGGGCTCTATCCACTGTGCGAGAACCTGCTGTGCCGGCCAGCAGCTGCAGGGGGAGCTGAGAATGGGGTGTCCAAGATGGCCGCTGCTCTTCCGAGGCTGCTGGAGCGCACGCTGTCCAGGGGACCGCAAACCGGAAGTGATGTGGAACGGTGACGCATTTTGGAGCATGCACAAAGCTGGTTCTTCAACACTGTTACCAAGAACAGAGGAGAGCCAAATAAATAGGATGGAGGGATGGGAATAGGACGGCTTGGGGGGACAGAAGTTCCCACCTCCTGAAGACCACAAAAGAGTGTGGACAAACTGGGAACAATATAAAATACAGTAAGAGAAGAAATAAATTAACCACTTGCCTACCAGGCACTTATACCCCCTTATTTACCAGGCCAATTTTCAGCTTTCAGCGCTGCTGCACTTTGATTGACAATTGCGCGGTCATGCAACATTGTACCCATATGAAATTTTGATCATTTTTTTCTCACAAATAGAGCTTTCTTTTGGTGGTATTTAATCGCCACTGGGCGCTTTACTTTTTACGCTATAAATAAAAAAAGTGCAAAAAATTTGAAAAAAAAAACAAACATTTTCTTTGTTTCTATTATAAAATTTTTCAAACAGGTATTTTTTCTCCTTCACTGATGTGCGTTGATGAGGCAGCACTGATGGGCACTGATGGGCACTGATAGTCAGCACTAAAGGGCACTGATAGGCAGCACTAATGAGGTGGCACGGATAGGCGGCACTGATAGACAGCACTAATGAGGTGTCACGGATAGGCGGCACTAATATGCAGCACTGATAGGCGGCACTGATAAGTGACACTGATGATGGGTACTGATAGACGGCACTGACTGGCACAACCCCTGGGCACTGACTGGTGGCACTGACTGGTAGCACTGCTGGGCTGCACTGGTGGGCAGCACTGGTGGGTGGGCACAGGTGGGTGGGTGGCACAGGTGGTGGACACAGGTAGGTGGGTGCTGGGCACAGGTAGGTGGCACTTCTGGGCACAGGTGTGTGACACTGCAGAGTGGCACAGGCTGGGCATAGGTGGGTGCTGCTGGGCACAGGTGGGCGGAGCTAGTGGGCGCACTGCTGGGCACAGGTGGGCGGAACTTGCGGGTGGCACTGCTGGGCACCGATCATCAGGGCACTGATCATCAGTGTCCTGATGATCGGTGCCGATCCCCGCTCTGACAACTGCCGGTTCTCGGCAGTACTTTCCTCACGATCTGACAGCGCAAGGAAAGTGCAGCCGAGAACCGGCACTTGCATTTCCCTGTAATCAGCGTGTCATTGGACACCGCTGATCACGTGGTAAAAGGCCGCTGTGATTGGCCTTTTACCACAGCACGTGATCAGCTGTGTCCGTAGGACACCGCGATCACGGAGATCGCCGGTTGCGCGCCCCCTGGGGCGCGCAGGAGAGCGCGTTCTGGGGGGACGTCATATGACGTCCACTCAGAACTGGCCGGCCGCAGTGAAGCCGTCAATCGGCTATCTGCGGTCGGCTACTAGTTTAAAAAAAAAAAAAAAAAATTTATATCCTATTTATCTTTATTTCTTCCCTCTTATTGTATTTTATATTGTTCCCACATTGTCCACACTCTTTTGTGGTCTTCGGGACGTGGGAACTTCCCGCCCCCCCCCCCCCCCCAAGCCGCCATGTCCCCCGGCCCTCCATCCTATTTATTCGGCTCTCCTCTGTTCTTGGTATCAGTCTTGGAAGAAGGAGCTTTGCGCATGCTCCGAAACACGTCACCGTTCCACATCACTTCCGGTTTGCGGTCCCCTGGACAGCGTGCGCTCCAGCAGCCTCGGAAGAGCAGCGGCCATCTTGGACACCCCATTCTCAGATCATACAGAACCTATTTTTACTGCCACCTTGTAAGTGTTTCTAACAGTTGTCATTAACCATTTCCAGTCCGGACACTTTTACCCCCTTCCTGCCCAGGCCAATTTTCAGCTTTCAGTGCTGTCACACTTTGAATGACAGTTGCGCAGTCATGCAACACTGTACCCATATGAATTTTTTTAGCATTTTTTTGAGACAGATAAAGCTTTATTTTGGTGGTATTTATTCACCGCTGGGATTTTTTTTTTTTTTTGCTATGTAAATGAAAGTCCAAAAATTTTGATACATAATAAATATTTCATCATAAATCTTGGCCAAAATTTATTCTGTTATCTTTTTAGTAAAAAAAAAAAAAATAACCCAAATTAGTTTATAACCAAAAATTATAATTTTTAAACTTTTTTTTTTTATATTTATTATTTTTTTTTTAACCTACTGTCACCCTAGCAGTGCAGTGTCACCATGGTGACACTGTACTACTTGTGGGGGGTGATGAAGATTTATTTATTTTTCTTTTTACATGGATTGCTTTTACACCCATAAAGGCTGTAAAAGCAATAATTTCTCCTTCTCTCTGGCTGCATTCTTGCAGCCATTGAGAACTACTGTGTGAGCTGTGATTGGTCACAGCTTGTCACATGGTACAAGGCTGTTGTGAATAGCCTTGTACCATGTGACCTCTGTGATCATTCACAGATTTAATACATAGTAAGCAATGATGTCACAAGTGACATCTTGCTTACTACTCTGCATGTGATCACTGATTGGCCCAGCAGTGATCACATGATCGGGACCTCGCACAGAGGGTCCCGCACGATGATCGGTGTTCCACTGTGTCCGGAGGACACAGCAGGCACCGGATCACGGTGCTGCGTGCTCCCAGGGAGCGTGCACACGCAGAGGGCGGGGAGGCCGTTTATAAACGGCCACCCGACCCTGAACTGCCACTGTCTGGCCATTTATACTGCACTTAGAAGCGCCTTCCTGTCTTCTCCTACTTCACATACAGAGTCTGCTTCAACTCCCAGAAGTGCTGCCCAGTGCCTGTGTTCTAGTTCATCATCTATCACTGCCTGACATTCTTCCATCCACAGCATCCTCCATTGATGTACCCTACATACATCTATTGAGCTGGCCAGAACCAGCTCCTGCGGGAGCCTGCAAAGCACTGCCCCTGTTATCAGTGGATCACAAGTGCAATATAAGGCTCTTGCAGATACTGCCTACAGCTCTCTGTGCCTATGGTTTGGGCAGACAGTTACTAAGCTGCAGGAAGGTGTCAATGGACTACAAGGGCACTGATCTGCACACTCGCAGTCCATTGAGAACTATAAGTCCATCTGCTGCAGTGGCCGATGGGACTTGTAGACTGTTCATTAACAGATCTCTGTGAATGAGTGAGGCAGTGTGCGGGCTGAGCCTCACAGCTATGCTGAGTTTAAATGTGACTGTGGGAAGAACCACCCCTACCTGCTGTCACAGGGGAAGTGACTCTGGGGTGAGGGGGCTGGAGATGACTAACAGGTTACATGTTACAACCTAAATAAGGGTGTAAAATAATCCTTTATTCCTCACCTTTACTGGAGGTTAAATGTCAGTGCCTATTCCTTCAAAATGTAGCCAGCACTGCAGGGAATCTGAGGCAGCATTTTCTCCTGGAAATATAAGCATTTCTGCCCTTCTGTTCCTTGTCTTTCCTACAAAGACTAGTGACAAAGTTGAGCATAGTTTCAGTTGAAAAGAACTGGCCATTGACTGAACACAGGTACACAAAATGAAATATTGATGTGTACATGTAATAATTACAACAAACATTTATTGGTTCTTTTTTTTTTATCTGTATGCCTGTTGCCTCTTTACAGACTGTGAGAGAACTCCAGAGGATACAGATTTACCTGTTATTGGAGACAATGGACAACATCTCTCCACCTCTTGTTACCCCACAACCATGCTGCTGGGGTACAAGCACACCGATATGAACTTCAGTATGGAGCAAGCCGGCGTGTGAGCAGAGGTATGATTTTCATTTAATGCATTGCTTGGAACTGAGATGAGCTGGCCATGCACACAAATTACAGGCAATTACAATTACTTCACACCTACCAGTGTTGATTGTTTTATGACTTCCCTTCTAGGTTGCCTTGATTAGATAAATCATTTTTTCAGTTCCAAGCTGATTAAAAAGTTGTGGGTGCATGAAATCAATCACACGTCAGCATTATTGAACCCCTTATGTGACTGTTTCTTTTGAGACTTTTTTTTTTTTTACTATTTTTGGCTTGTCTGCTGGAAGGTGCATTGATGAGTTCAGCAATTTATGGGAGGTGTATATAAACTCTGGCCTTATTCTGTTTGCATTCATTGAAGTTAAAACAGTGTTTCTTGTAGGTTCAACCAAAATCTGGGCATAATTCCCCAGACCATGTGTGAAGCTTGTAGGGTGCATAAGACATCATGAAGTTTGCTGTTCTCTTGTATTAAGCCCATCTACTTCATCCTCTGCGATGCACCTTTACGTCGCAAGGTTGAACTGGTTATAGTTGGCAAAAGGCTGTAATTTAAAAGCGATCCTAGCGATCCCCCGTCGCTTTCTGCCGGCTCACCATAGCGATAATCAAGGACTGCAACATCCCAAATCATCTCTATGGTATAAGAAACCGGAAGTGATGAGTATTTTGTCACTTCCAATTTCCCCGGGATGTAACCAAGCCAATACTGGTTTGTGAAAGCATTTGATCATATCGATCAATGTTGTTCATCCCTTGTGATAGCCATAAAAGTGGTAAAAAAAAAATTAAAAAGGCATGTTAAAAATAAGTAAATAAAGAATTTTAAAGCTCCTTTGTCCCCCCATGTTTGCGCGCAAAGACGAACGCATACACAGGTCGCATACACACACATAGGTAAACGGTGTTCATCACACTGTGATGTAGCGCTGCAAACAGTATAACCAGAACAATAATTCTAGCACCGGATGAACAGGTAACCTGTAATAGCTCTTAAAGCCTCTTCTATGGATAATTTAATGTACCATCGTTGTTGCTGGTCCATGAGCGTGCACAGTTTTAAAGTATGACATGTTTGGTATCTGTTTACTAATCTTTTATATTTTACCAAACAATTGGGTTTATATTGTGTTTTTGTGCATTAACATTCATGAAAGTGTATTTGTTTCCAAAACGATTGCATTTGAAAAACCGCTGTGCAAATACCATGTGACATAAAAAATTGCAACACCCGCCATTTTATTCTCTAGAGCCTTTGCTTAACAAATATATAATGTTTGGAGTTCTTAGTAGTTTTCTAGCACAAAAAATGCAGATTTTTATGTGTACTGTAGGAGAGGAATGTCAGAATAGGATTGGGATGACATGGATAAGGAATTTGTCAATATTGTGCAACATGCCCCCGTTGACTTGGTGAATCCTGCAACACAAGCTCATTTCTTTTTGTTCAGCAATAAAAGTTCTCTGGTATAAGGGTCTTTATGGACACCCTCTTAATCAGTTTATAATCTAGAATACGACACTTTTCCTGAGGGACTAATGCTACTTCTCACAAGTAAAAGCCATCAGCTCTGCGTTCTCTGATCTGGATGCATGGGGCCACTTGGCAAAACTCTTTGTAATGCATGTAATAGGACATATTATTCACTGCTTTTAAAACCCGTTGTAGATGTACATTGTGAACATGTTTCACGGTTTTATTTGTGAAAGGCTGTGGTTCAGGTTAGTCAGTCATTTTGTCTGAAAACATATGTCAGATTGCTGCTGGGTGCTGCAATATTTGTTTCAGGATGGTTGTGGCCTCCGCAATGCTCTCTGATATTCCTGTGCATGTGCGGTACACCTAATCCTTACATCGACTCTGACTGCAGAGAGTAAGAGCTTTGTTTACATTTGTTTAGTCGTGTGACTATTGCATGGCTGAACAAATGAAAAACAAACCCTTACCACTTCTGCTAAGTCCTGGGAGATTGCCCTCTGCCATGTCATTACAGAGAGCTGAGCTCCTCACAGACCGGGGAGGGGACAGGAATTTAACACCATCAGAATTGTCAGCTTCTTGTGGGACTTAAAACACCTAACAATAATAATAATAATAATGTTATCAAGAGTTTTAATAAGATGGGGGCGGGGGGTTTGGATTTTGTAAGTTTACATTTCAGAGAAAAATTGAAAGGAACTTGTTTATTGCATGTCTTTGCAAAAAAATAGGCAGGTTTTTTTTTTTTTTAATACAACATTGCAGCTCCGAGATCTAAACTGCTGACAGACTTTAGATTATTTGTGTGCCCTCCATTTACCTGACATGTAAAAAAAAAAAATGTTTTAGATTACTTTTACACAGGCAGTGGTAAAAACAGGTGGTTGATCCACGTTTTACCTGCAACTCCTGACCATCCAGCTAAAGGCGGACATGATGCTGCTCAGATGAGTACACACTGTGCAGGCACCACCTTGGTTGGCTCACGGTGGTAATATGGTCCCGTAATGCAAAATCCTTGCCTTGGCAAAGAAAAAAAGAGCCCTTTAGAGGAGATTGTAGAATCGCCTTCTGATTGCCTGCAAACATCCTCTCACGAAAAGTGATCCACCATGGACCGCTTTACAGGGGGGTGTTAAGCACTGCGGTGGTTGTGCAAGCAAATAATGCACTCAAAAGCAGAGATGTAGATAAAACCTACTCGTGAAACATCTTCACAAACATTGTGAATAAATGAAACTATTGACTGGTCTTTTTTTCTTTTGATTTAGGAAGTGTCAGGTAATCTCTGACGCTTGTTTATTTAACACACTAAAGAAAGTTCAATTTTGTCTTACAGGTTTTCTGTCGAAAAATCGAGGGTCCCATCTTTCTGAACACCAACAGTATCTGCAGCTTTAGCGCCAAATTTCATTTGTATTCTTTCCCTGAACTGACTCGCCGTACCCCACCCCATCACGGACGGATTCTTGGATTGCCCCCCATCATTTAATTTGTTTTATTTTTATGTACTTGTTTAACCCTTCCTCCATTCAGGAGTATGAGGCTTCAAAAGCAAAAGGCAGGGATTAGTCGTGGGGAGGGGGGGGACACCCACTTGTTTAATGGAGAACTATCTGTGAACTTGCCACCCTTGCAGGCATTAGCAGAAAAGGAGGAGGGATTTTATTCAAAAGGCGCTTTTGGGGGGAAAGGTAGCATTGGTGGGGTGGGAAAAATTTGGTTGCTGAAACATAGAAACACCAGCACAGAATTCTATATAAATGTCTGGCACCTATTGTGGCAAGAGAGACTGCAGCCTCACTATTGAAGCTGCTGGTTCCCAAGCAGGGACGTAAGACACACTGTAGCCTGTGGGTAACCAGTGGAAGAGACTGGTGTCCAAGGGTGGTATGGCAGGAGTGACTAGTGCCGAGGGTGGAGTTCTTTTTAGAATATAAGTGACAGCAGGTATTCCACAATCTACACTAGCTTGTTTTTTTTATGTTCTCTGTCTAAGTTTTTAGGTTGATATATCCACTGGGTCTGGAATCTTACTTATCAAGCTCAGTTTTTCAGAAATTGCACTATTTTTATTTGAACCAGTATAGCTGAGAGCATTTAGGTTTCTGTATCCTTCCTAAGGTGAATAAACAAAAAAGCCAAAGAAAAGAAAAAAAAAAGGCCTATCCCTTCACAGTGGATAGGATGTATGTGCCATTTTATTTTGCAATGTACTATTTTTATAGCTTTATTGTGTAGAAAGTAGATTCCTTTCCAGCATTGTAAGATTTCATTCCTTATAGCCTGTATCCTCCCGTTCATGGCCAAATTTCAGAGGATTGTATCTTTAATGTCAAAGCATATGTGGCTAAGTCGCATGGTATAAAGACAAGATTATGTGATTTAAAGAAATTAAAGCAGAACTTCAGAGAAGTAGAGCAGTCCTGTATTCAAAACAATGAAATGCAAGCTGCTATAAAAACATAAAAGGTTTCTTTTTAAATGCACTTATTCCCCTCCACCCTAGTAAACAGACTGAGAGTGGATGGCCAACACCATGAGCCAGGTAAACTCTGCATTTCATGGTGCTGCTTTTCCAGCATGGTTTAGACACTTAAGGTGGCCATAGATGGGTAGTATTTCTAACGGAAATTCTTGGGAAAAGAATATTCTATGACGTTTGTTCATTTTTCATATCATTAGTGGGGTCAAATCAGCATTTGTTTTTGACCGCAGTGACAAAATTTGAAGGAGCAGGATAGAAAATTATTCTCGAACAAACAAGTTTTTAACAGTGTATGTGGTTTTCATTCATTCCAAAATCATATGCTAAAAGCAAATAAAAGCTTTTGAATTTTCTGAGAATTTTCGTACAAATTTTCCTAAGACTATAAAGCGGATTTTAATAATGTTGACTACATAGTGTGGCAGGGATAGCTGAATTGTCAATTTTGACATGTACAGCTTACATATCCAATTCAGCGTGTATATTTCATAGTTTGGCTGAAGCTCTGCTTTAATATCTGATACTGGAAGCAGCATCCTATTGGGATAGTACTCAGTCTGCCAATACAGAATGCACTGGCACACAAGCATTGTGTTTTGTGTATAGGAAGGATTAAATACATAAAGACTCTGACAAGCCTATGAAGATATTATCTGAAAAACACTATATCAGTGCTTGAAGTCAGAGTGAGTTTCTTACTAGTCTGATCTAGTAGCAGTTATTGTTTTTACTCAGTACTTTTAAGTACTATATCTTGGCACCATTTTGCACACGATAAAGCTGCTGTCGTTGGAAGATGTATTTTGTAGTGACAATAATGAGATGTGCCATGCCCAACTGTCAGCTCTTCTTTGTTGTAGTTTTTATCATTTTTGTGTAGTTTTTTTTTTTTCTTTTGAGTATTGTATCTGTTGCTGTAATTATGGCTGTTCTGAAATTTAGCATAAACAAACGCCCAAGGTGTCTAACTCCTCCTGCCTATCCACCCTGAGAGAGACAAATCCCACACAGTGCCTGTGAGGCCCTTGGGAGAT